TTAAAACATAGTTTATCTGTTATAGGGCACATGCATTTGCCAGAGGGAGACAGAGAGAGACGGACAGAGAAAGGGGGAAAGTATGAAATCATCCCCCAAAGGAGATGACCACACCACAATCCCTTCTCCTCTATTCGCCTCTTGGGATTTTGGGTATACATGTATCCACGTGCGGGTATAGACACACACACACACACACACCAGGCATGTTTTTCAAACAACCAGGACAGAGAATTGAATTATGTAGTTGGCCATGTGGGATTCAGCCATGTTAACCACCATGCAAACTGCAAACTGGCAGGTTGGTTGTTCTAGAGAAAAATCAACTTAAAATTAAAAGTTATAACTAATTATTTTAATATACTGAACATACATACAACCTGGTTTTTAAAAACCTAGTCACTTAATACACTTCTAAATTGACTATTTATTTATTATTTTTTTGGAGAGGTTTTTGCTATAGGGTACATGCGCTCGCCAGACAGAGAGACAGAAAGCGAGAAATCACCCCGCAGTAATCCCTTCTCCTCCATTCTCCTCTTGGGATCTTTGACACGTACGCACACGCACCCGGCGTGAGTTTTAAGCCACTGGGTTCAGGACTCGAACCGCAGTTGACTACATGAGAATGCAGGGATATAGCCATTACGCTAACTGCTGGTCCCTAAATTGACTGTTTAAATACATAGCACTGTGCAAAGGACCGAATATTAGAGGTAAGCCTTTACGTAAAATGAATCATCATAATTAAAAAAAAAAAAACAAAAACCCTGGAAATTCTATTTCAACATTTCTGCTTTGTATAATCATGAAAAAAGCAACTAAAACAAGACAGTATTGTTTCATTCATTAGAGCAGTTACAGTTAAAATATATAATGGTAAAATACTTTAAATGAAATGTACTAGAAAAAATAAGGCTGTGTTCTTGCATCTTTATAAAAAACTGAACAGAAAAGGCAAAATTATTTAAGTGTAAAGAAGAAATGGAACTTACATAAGTTGATGTCTCCAAGCTATCTGTGTTGACCAGTACTGGAGGAGGATTTGCCTTTAAATAAAAAATTATGTGTTAGTTTAACAAGAAAATCCAAATATTACATATTAGTGTTCACAAATGTTAAGATGTGCATAAAAAGACATGCTATTTCTTTTTTTATTTTAAAATTTTATTAATTATTTTTATTTTACTTGCTATAGGGTATATGTGCTCACTGGAGAAAGACAGGTAGCAAGAGAAAATGAGAAAGAAGGCAGCCAGCCCCAAGATTTGCTTTTTTTTTTTTTTTGAGAGGTTTTTGGTATAGGGCACATGTGCTCACCAGAAAGACAGAGATAGACAGAGAGACAGGAAGTGAGAAATCACCCTCCAAGGGGGATGGCCATGCTGCAATCCCTTCTCCATTCTCTTCTTGGGATATTGGGCATGCATGCACAAGTGCCTGGTGTGAGTTTAAGCCACCAGGTCCAGGACTAGAATATGAGAGCCCAACAATATAGCCATTATGCCAATTGCTGGTCCCCAGGTCCAGGATTTGAACTGCAGTCAGTCATGTGGGAGTCCAATGCCTTAACCTCCATGCCATTGCTGGCCCCAAGACTTAATACTTTTTAGTTCTAATTTTATATAAGCTTTTATTTGCTAAACAATGTATCTAGTTTTTAGCACCACAAGGAAAGAATTAGGGATAAATGATTACATTTATTTGATTATGAAAAATAAATAGGTATTTCTGCTAAAAGAGCCATAATTTTCAAAAGATTTACATAGACGTTCACAAAAGTCTTTTTACAAAATCCATGAATATTCTTATTTTTTAAATAAAGTATGTCCTGAATCTCTTCTCTCAGCTTAACGAGTAGCTGGGTCTACTCTATCTGGCTTTTAGAGTGGTACAGAATACAACTGAGGCCTTCCATGTGGCCCAGCCTGCTGAGTATGGGTTTCTACCAATGCGCATTGTGACTGGGCCACAAACAACAACTCTTCCTGGATTGCTTAGAAACCATTAGGTATTTCCATTCCCAAAAGATTCCAATCATTTTATCATGCAGAAAAAATGTCTTGTGATTAAAAAACAAAACACTGAATTACATGTGAACATAAAAACAAAAAAACAAAAAACAAACAAACAAAACACCAGTTGCACAAAGGAATCAACCGTAAATGTTTGGAAAATTAGAAATACATTCTTAATTTAAAAGAACCTCGGTATTTCCAGAATAATACCTTATTATAGCATAAAAGGTAAGTAGAACAATATATATCTAAATTAGGATAGGAAAAGGCTTGGTTTTTGGTTAAGTTAGAAGTGATTATTACATAGGTGAAACTAAAGAATATAATGCGATTAATACCAAATGGAAAACATCAAAAATAGATACAACTGCTCTCAAAATAATTTCCTCAGCATATTTAAGATTATAAAAGTACCAAGTCAAACATTCTCATAGACTAAAAAAGATGACTACCCTATGTAAACAAACTTCAGAAAATAAATTTATGAATATTAATAGTTCTACTCTAACTGAAGAATTACAAGAAGCTCTATGAGAAAAAACATTATAACACAATATAACTCTTTTCTTCCAAATGTATTAACTTTTTGAGTAAGTAAAAATTTAGAATTCAAATGATATGTCATTTTCATTCAAGTACTAGATCTGGATGCTCACATGATGAAATGCTTCAAAAGACAACATATTTTGTGATTAAAAAAAAGACTATACACTACGAATTTAGGCTACAAAAGTAGTAAGTTAAAACGAGTATAGGTGATGCTCCCTTTATTATAAATGAGTATGAACACAACATTAACTATTTTATGTTCAACACTACCACTGAAAACACAGGTTGAGTATACCCTAGCTGAAATGCTTCCTTAGAACCACAAGTATTACAGATGTTTGGAATTTGGGCCCCATCCCAAGTCTAAACATAGAATTCATTATGATTCATGCACATTGTACACAAGTAGCCTGAGATTTTATCCAAAATTTTTGTATTGCAGTGTTTTTTTTTTTTGTTGTTGTTGTTTGTTTGTTTTTGAGAGGTTTTTGCTATAGGGTGCGTGCACTTGCCAGAAAGACAGAGAGAGAGAGAGAGAGAGAGAGAGAGAGGGACAGAAAGTGAGAAATCACCCCCCAGGGGGGATGGCCACGCCGCAATCCCTTCTCCTCCATTCCCCTCTTGGGATCTTTGGCATGCACGCACACGCGCCCAGCGTGAGTTTAAGTCACTGGGTCCGGTACTCAAATCCCGGTCGGCTACATGGGAGTTCAGCAATATTGCCATTATGCTAAGTGCTGGTCCCTGTATTGCAGCGTTTTGACGGCAACCTGTCACACAAGGTCAGATATGAGATCTTCCACTTATGGTGTCTTGTTGATGCTCAAAAAGTTTCAGATTTAGGAGCATTTTGAATTCCAGATATTAAGATTAGAGATACTGAACCTGTAATAGTCTAACTTGAAATGATTCAATGAAAACCAAACCTAGCAAATAAAATTCTACTTGTAAGATTGTTATTTTAGTGAGTTACTTTACAGAAATTTGAGATTTTACAAATATCTGAACTCATTCATTTCCTAATGACATGTTGACAGTACTCAAATGATAAAAACTTGTTTCCTTCAAAAATTAATGATACATGGGACCAGCAGGTGGTGTACAGCAGTTACGCAGCTGGACTCCTGCATGGCCGACTGCATTTGGACTTCTGAGACCTGGTGGCCTGAAAGTCACACTGGCCACATATGTGTGTGTATGTACCCATGGCCCCAGAAGGAGAATGGAAGAGAAAGGACTGCAGTGTGGCCATCCCTCCTGGGGGGGATTTCTCACTTTCTGTCTGTCTCTCCAGCAAGCACATAAGCCCTATAGCAACAAACAAACAAACAAAAAAACCTCTAAAAAAAAAGTAATAAAAAAATAGGGCAAATGAGCTGAATAGACAACTCTCTAAGGAAGCTATATGGTTAAAAAGGTATGAAAAAATGTTCAATATCTCTTATTATAAGGGAAATAAATGCAAATTAAAACCACTATGAGGGGCTGGAAGGTGGCATGCTGGTTAAGGGTGCTGGACTCCCATATGGCCAATTATGGTTCTACTCCCAGACCTGGCCACTTGCTTTCTCACTTTCTCTCTCTCTTTCTCCTTCTCTGGTCAAATTAAAATAAATAAATAAAGTTAAAAAAAATCTTAAAAAAAAAAAACCTCATTAAAAAAGTAAATAAATTAAAAAAAAAAATCCAAACCCACAATGAGACACCCACCATTTAACTCCAGTTAGAATGACTATTATTGAAAAACAAACCAAAAAACAAACAAAAAACAAAACAAAACAAAAGAAGTGCTGGTTAAGGTTGTGATAGGAAGGGAACTCTCTTACACTGTTGGTGGTAATGTAAATTAGTATAACCACTGTGGAAAACAACATAGACACTCTTCAAAAACCTACAAATAAAACTACCATGTATTACTCAGTAATCCTACTCCTTGGTATTTACCCAAAGGATAGGAGGACAACAGTCAGAAAGACAACTGTAAATAAATGTTTACTGAAGCATTATTCACAATTCCTAAGACAAAGAATTTTTTTTTTTGGAGAGGTTTTCGCTATAGGGCACGTGCGCTCGCCAGACAGACAGAGAGAGACAGAAAGCGAGAAATCACCCCCCAGGGGGGATGGCCACGCCGCAATCCCTTCTCCTCCATTCTCCTCTCGGGATCTTGGGCACGCATGCACACGTGCCCAGCGTGAGTTTTAAGCCACCGGGTTCGGGATGCAAACTGCGGTAGACTACGTGGGAGTCCAGCGACATAGCCATTACGCCAACTGCTGGTTCCCCTAAGACAAATAATGTAAGAATGGATGAATGGGTTGAAAACTTGTGGCACATACATACCGTGGAACACAACTTGGTCATGAGAAACAATGAGGTCCTGTTGCTAAGCAAAGTGAGACAGACTTTGAAAGACACACATTATATACCCTGCTCAAAATGGACTCAAGGTCTGCATTCTACAACAGAAGACTGATACTACAGAGGATAAGTGTAGATATCAGAGACTGTAAGGGTGAGGAGTGGACTGTAGAGAAGGGGTAAATTGGGCAAAGGGAAGAGACATTTAACAGACAAAAGAACATGAATTTCTATGGTACAATGATAGATATGGTAATATCCTTGTTTTAATTGTCATGTATTTCATACAAACTTTGAAAAGCCATATTGTGCTTTAAAAAGATGTGCAACAGAGGAGTTAAAAAAAAAAGTGCTAATAAAAAATAAAAAGGAAAAAAAGTGCAAAAAAAAAAAAAAGATCCAAAGTAAAAATCTATAGAAATGAAGCTCAAGAAGCATAATGATATGATTGCCTCAAGTTTAGTCATCTAAAATAAAGGTTAAAAATATTTAAGGTTGAGATTCTACAAACTAGCCATTTTGGGGAAACAGAAATCAAGACTGCCCACTGATAATTCGGCCTCCAGCACACAAAACTCGTGTGATAGGAAGACCCCTTTCAGTCCTCCTGTCTCTGTACCTGTCTTTGTCTCTCTCTACCTCTGTCTCTGTCTCCTCTCTTATTTTTTTTTTAATTTTTGCTTTGAATTTTTTAAGGTAAGCATTTTCTATGCTTTCTGGCCCCTCCTACCCCTTTATTTTGTTAAAATAATTCCCTCTCCTCCTCCCAACCCAGGAGAGGCAAAGGGAACAGGCGTTCTTGAAGACACAGCCTCATGGATTCTGCAAACTAGCCATTTTTGGGAAACAGAAATCAAGACTGCCCACTGATAATTCGGCCTCCAGCACACAAAACCCGTGTGGTAGGAAGACCCCTTTCAGTCCTCCTGTCTCTGTATCCGTCTTTGTCTCTCTCTACCTCTGTCTCCATCGCCTCTCTTTTTTAAAAATTTTTGCTTTTTAGAATTTTTCCAATTTTTTGTTTTTTACTGAAATTTTTAAAAATATTAATTTTTTTAGTTCTATTGAAAAGTTTTTATCTTCGTTTTTTCTTCTCTTTTTCTGTTTCTTGTTTGTTTTTT